TTCCCGACTAACCACCAGAAAGTAAGGCAAGTCTTGTCGACCCTTGCTTTCACGGGCACCCCTGAATCCCGCTGAAGCCCGAAAAGCCCCGTGCCCCAACAGAACTTACGGGTCAGCTAAGGACTAATTATAGTATGTAGGTCATGTAGGGATTATAAAGGGAGTCTATTCCCTTATTCCCGAGAAACCACCAGTAAGAACTGCTCACTCAGAACTAGCTACCCGACCACCAATGATACTGGGGAGCCCTGTTCTGGGTCGGCTTTGGCCAGGGAACTCTTGAAGCCCTTTTCCCGCACATACTTCTTCCACTGCTCAGTGCCGCCCTTCTTCTGGAGGTCTTTGGCCTATCAGACTTCAACATTGCCCACTTTTGCTATCAGCATGCTCGTTTCTGTCCTGTTGATTCTGCACAATAACATGAATGAGGCTTCTGATCATATCTAGGCATCGCTGAAACATGTTTCGTTGCGCTGTCTAGGAATCCCTCGCGAGGGCATAGCAGGAGCGCGAGTTGCATCAAGCAGTAGCCACGAAGATGACCATCCCCGTACAACCCCCGCGACTTCAGGTTCCTCAGGATGGCGCCCTGCGTAAAGGGATGTATTTATTTCCCTATCACAGCTGGCGCTTTCGATTCACCGCCTGGCTGGCCACTTTGTCGGAACACAGGTCAACCTGCAAACTCAACTCTAAGCGGCTTGTGAAAAATCCAGTGTTTGGTCAAGCCCCCGTGCGTGCTCGAATCTTGCCAGCTACCAGAACAATCAGCATGTAAACATTTTAGAGACTTTAGAGCTACAAGTAGCATGTGTGCAGCCACGCAAACCTGAAAGGCCCTGAGCCCGGCTGCATCTGGAATCCTGCCTCACCAAAGTCGCCATTGCGGTAGCGTTGGAGGAAGTCAGCTACCACCTGATCCGCAAGCCGGATGGAGACATTGAAGAAGAAAGGTGTCCATGTGTGGAAGAAGTGCAATGCCCGATCAGTATCCGTCTACAGAAGACCTTACCTTCATAACCAAACTCCACCAAAACAACTACCCAAATAGCCTCGACAAGTTTGTTGATTGCTGAGCCCTGGACATCAGCAGGCAAGTTGTATGGGTTCCGGATGCTGAAGCAGTTCCGCTCGCAGTAATTCATCTGGGAACAGCCGGAAAGCTTTCAGTGGAAATCCGCCGCTGGCTGGATGCTACTGCTGAAAATTTAACCATGTGCTAAAGACCACCACAGCGACTTCCTTTGCCAACCCCGGAACTGCGGCTACTTCTCGTTCCTTTTGCCAGTGCTTTGAACTATGAGCTCCTCACGCTTGCTACCAATACAGGGTTTTCTTTATAGCTGTACAGCAATCTTGATCAAGCTGCCGATCACTAACGTAATCGGTAGAATGGCCTATGTTCTTATTAGCTCTTCTCACCTTTGCTCTACAGTTCACAACCTACGCTTATCTTGCCAAGGTTGTTGACTGCTTGCTGTGCCCACTCCCTCTTCGTCACACATTTGCCTTGGGATGACCTTGGATTTTGATATCAGATTTGACTTAAAAGCGATTTCAAGTCATGCTCGGATGGGGTGCTGTAGTCAGTCCGGGGCTTTACTTGAAATCTACTTTAAATCCCTTAAGGGTGGTATGTCCAAGCACACACAGGGATTTAACATCGATTCTAAGTGTTTTTGTGGTGAGTCCTCCCAGGCCAACTTGAAATCGATGTTAAGCCTTTCACATGCTCCTCATTGCTACTACAAGTAGTGGCAACCACTTCTTGTGTCTCTCTAGCAGACCTGCTTTCTGGTCCTTGTGCGCAAACTACGGACCTCTGCTCCAAGGGTTTTTGCTGCTCCGGGCTTGGAACTCTTCCAGATGTTAAGTTTGCAATGGACCCGGCATGCGTGTAATTTTCTTGTTGCTTGGCATTTCGGTTGGAAAGTGAACTCTCCTGGAAACAATGTTTTATGTGTTGCGCGGCTCGACTTAGATCATTGCTCGACTTAGATCATTTCTGCGAACTGTTTGGCAGACGTCCAATTCTGACCACGCGCATGTGCCTTCTGCTTTTTGTCCTCCATACTTCCCCGTACGCATTCGCTTTGGATGTGCAACACCAGCAGTTGGAATATATATGTATATATATCTATATATATATATATTATTTTTTTGGGGGGGGGATCTCTGACCTAGACAAATTAAGCGACTTGCGGCAAGATGTTGGGGAGTTTCCCAAAACAGGGGACCACCATCTAAACCCCAAACCACTACAAGCTGTAACATGCAGACGTCCAAAGAGGGACCCCTGAACCTTAAACCCCAAAGCCTAAACCCCATACGTTTTCTGAAGTCGCCCGTACTTTTTTGCCACCCAGGCCCGAGTTTGATGTTCAAATCAAGAGCACTGCTCTCGTGCCCCTCACTAAACAGAGAACACAAATGCACGCATGTTGTACACCATTTTGCATACGCGACATATATCCTAAACAGTATAGCTCTTCAGAAAACCCTCTTGCGAAAGAGTAGCAGGTGTAGGACAGCAGCAATACAGGCTCAAATTTGGTTCTAAGACTTACGGGAACAACCCTTGCGTTAGGAGAACTTGAAATCGATTGTAAGTATTTACCATGGAGCATAAGCTTAAAATTGGTTTTCAGGTGTGCGTGAGAATCTCTTATTCGAGGAAGACTTGAAATGGATTCTACGTGTTTGTCAAAGAAAATAGGCCTAAAATTGGTTTAAGGCCCACCCCACGAGCCAAACACTTAAAATCGATTTCAAGACTCCGGAAGCTGGAGGAATGCGGGAATGGGAAGTTAAAATCGATTTCAAGTCATTTACGGTGCTTCCCCTGGAATGTCTTAAAATTAATCTCAAGTGACCAAGTATCCGAGTCCCAAATTGCTGAGCGCATGACTTAAAATCGATCCTAACTGAACCTTGAAATCAAAATCCAGTGCTTCTCATTTGCATTCTCGAAGCCCAACACGCAAAAGTTATGGGCAATCAGCATGACGAGTAGCTGTCAGTGTGCCCTCGACCTTTAAGCTAGACGGGACGCCAATGATGATAGCTTCCCACGGCAAACACAAATGACCTGTCAACATTCTCCTCAATCTGACCAGAGAGGCCCAGTGCCACTGCGCCAGAGGATTCATGCGCTCTTCGTTCAGCTCCTTTTGCAATTCTTGATCAATCTGGGGTGGGCGGCTTCTCTGTAGAGTCCCGCGTGCGGGCTGCGTGGGAACTACTGTTTTCACGTGGCGAGCTCGTATTGCAAAACCGAATTTCAGATTCAAATGAATTGTAACCAGTAGTCTCCAAGACGGGGCCAGGTGTGTGTCCGGTGTGTGTGGGCAAAGCTTTTCCAGCATTTTGGTGGCTTTTCTCTCTCCAACCCTCCTGACAAGAAAACAAGTTCCTAGCGGCAAATAATAAAACTTCCACAGGCGAAAGCTAATGTACTCTACAACTCTTGATCCAATCCCACAGGCCTAGGTGGCTGCTGGCAAGCGGCTACAATAAGACGTTTGGGCGCCCATTCCACGACAGCATGGGCATCTCGAAATGTAAGGAGGAACTGCGCTGCAAGATCCGCCTGGGCTTGAGGGGAATTCTGAGCGGGTTGGCGTCCCTCGCGTGAGTTGCACTATTTTGCGAGTATGTAAGAGGCACCTTTGGAAATACCCTGGGCATACACGGGAGGCACATGGAGGCACGGACCTTCCACAGAGGTCACGAACATGTTGCCCTATGCCCTATGTTTGCTGTTACACTTTCAGCCGCTAGCCCCATTGGTGATGCAACCGCTTCTGCTCATGGGAAGACTCCCTTCTGCGACGAAGACTGAGATTCTTTGATGATTGCTATCGCCAGGACATTCTAACACAAGTTCCGCTCAGTTTGTGGAGGGGGGGGGGGTAGCAAAAGAAAGTAGCCCCAGCAAAGTAGCTGACCAGATTGTCACCTTTTGCTGCTTAGTGGAAGAAATCGTGAACCTGGTCTTGATTGCGGCCGTGACTTCCTAACTCGTCAAGCCGAAGCCGCTGGACCCAAATACATCCAAAACGCTACTACATTCCATTCCTGAAATGTCCAGCACTGCGCAGGTGCAACCTAGGGTCTGGAGCATCAATCAAGTCAGCGTTTGGGAGACCCTTCCTTAGCCAATCAACAGAGTTGACATGAGTCGACGCTGTCCATCTGGAGCTGCTGTTTCGAATCTTTTTGTTCGGTCCTTCTTCCTACCAGTGCCGGAACCTCACTTGCCATCACGGGCCCATGCATCTGCACAGAAACCCGCTTCACCTGCAGGATGAGACATGCAACATATGTTGTTTGCGAGTGCTCTGACCTCCTTGAGGTCAACACCATAGGTCCATATTACATAGAGGGACGTGCGATTGTCGTATCAGCCTGTCTGCGCGTTTTCTCTGCCATAACATAACTTTGCCCGCTCTACTTTTCCTGCTATCAAGCACAACTCGTACCTCTAGCCATGCTATGCAAGGATTACAAAGATGCTTCAAGAAAGCCCCTGGCTTGAGCTCGCGGCCGAGTGGCTCTGTGCAAAACATTTGCCAAAGCCAGGTTGCACCCTTCCTGTTTAGCAGCAGCTCACCTCAATCGCAGTTGTAGGTGGAAAAAGCAGCAGCAGCAATAACAACCAAAAAACAACACCAACACCGACCACGAGGATGACGAGGAAGAAAACGCCGCCGGCGATGATGACGACGGCGACGACGACAACAGCAACAGCAGCAGCAAAAAGAGCAGCAGCTGCTCACTAACCCCACCCCATCAGCCCCGCCGCCTCCCCACCGCAATCGCTACCGCCGCCATAACAAATCCATCTAATCAAGTGGTCAGTCTCGCGCGACGGTCAGGGCATATCAACGTTAAAATTACGTGTCGTTACAAACCACTGCCCTTACCCTGCATTAGGAGGACATGTCCATTCCTGACCCACATTTCAGCACAGTGCGCTTGGGGTCTTATTGCTTTGATTCCCTAAGCTGCAGGAGATTGAGCTGGTGGGCAAGAAGCATCCTATCAGCCAGGCAACGAATCTTCTGCTTTTGCTTCGTGAGGTCCTGCTGCATTGCTATTATGATGCAAATTGCCCCGTGCACGGTTCATGTACAGAACTTCTTTAGTTTTTCTTGGGAAGAATTTGAAATTCATTGCGCATCCTAATTTCTTGGCACCCTGTTCCCATTACTGCGTAGTGTAGTGACAATGATCATTATTCTCACGAAAAGCATGTTTGATGGCCATCCTTGGATTTGAATCTGCATCAGACACATGCAGGGAAGGGAGAGTCGGGGCTTAGAGTTCAATAGCGAACTTTCTCGGTGGCACGTAGCTCGTAGCTTCATCATCAGCGTGAGCATCCATTCACACTCAACGGTGGAGCTTCTCAACACCGACCCTAGATGATCCTGAAAGGGATCCCCTACAACCCCTGCTTGATCATTTAATCCATATACAGCATCTATACCTATCCCGATACTCGTATATCCCTCAGTTTTCGAAAACCCCCAACTCGCTTGCGGGTCCTGATCAGAAATTTGCCGCCTGGTCTCCAGCTTTTGAAAAGCCTTCCGTGCCACGGAAGTCGAAGCTCTGGCGGCCTCTGCCCAAATGAAGCAGAGCTCGAGGTCCCGGGGAGGTTAATTATGTGGATTTCCGGGGGGCTTATGGGGTTCATGTTTTCCATCGCGCCAGGTTGGGATCCAGGTTAGGGACACAGGAGTAAGATCTTAAAAAGCTTAGGGACTCCGGATACAGCCCCGCAGGACCTTTCAGTGAGAGCTGACTCAATTGTAGCTTGAACTGGGCCATCTTTGGTAACCATGTCTACTTTGCTACAGAGTTGCCACGTGTGTAAGGTGAGACATCCGCGTTAACAATGTTCTTGCAGTCATGGCAGCAAGGGCTCGCACAATCATGCCAAAAGAGCGAATGAGTTGCAGCGACCGTTTTGACGCCCTGAGGCCTCCCCCTGATATAACAAAACTCATTCTAAAATGGGGCATCGGTTCCTGTACTGTCAAGTTGAATTGTCTGCCACTCTGGAGGCCCCGAACGTTTACATGATTGTGGAGGCTTCTGGTTCAGGTCCTAAATTGAGAAACATTTCTCGACCAGAACTAAACAAGACCAAGCGGCATGGAAATTGAGGTAGCCCTGTGCCACAAAGGACAGCCTGAGCTGCACGGCAAGGATACCGGTTTGGCATCATGCTCACGTAAGATTCACGGTTTATGTGCAAGTATGTTCCATTACGCTGCCGCCACTCAGATGCGAAGCAAACCTGTAAGATGACTTTTTCAGCTTCCTTAACTACCCTTGAGCCCAATGAAAGAATCCTGGAAGGCCTTAAGCCTTCCTTGACATAAAGCTATTTGGCAAACACAAGCATTTGCCTCCTAGTTAGTGGCAGCCATGTAGATTCTGTAGATGTGCGGACATGTCCATTGGGCGCTGGCTGGATTGAAACGTTTGCAGCCAATCACATCCAAATGCTGCGCGCGGAGCCCACGGCCCAAAACCAGCGCCAAAAGGACAGGGCCCCAAGCGCCCAAAGCTAATGCGGAACCTGGCGGATAATCCCAAAACCGCCACGTAAAGACACTATGTTCTACTACCTAGCGCAACATCGCAAGTCTTTAGCACCTGGTTACATGTGGCGCAATCACCCAGCTTGCTCGAACAATTCTGCCTGCCCGCTGCCGTCTTCTTTGCCCCATAGCTTGTGCTGCTTGTGGGGCCCTTGCTGTGGGTTGCTGGCAACAAGGCCTGGAGGCTGCTAAGGGGGTTGTGACATTACTGCGTTCTGCATCTAAGACCATGCTGAGTGTTTTCCCTCCTGACATAGCCCTCCAAAAACAAGGGGTCGATGTCATGTTCAAGCACACTTCCGGGTGGGGTGGTCATCAGGTGACTACGCTGACATGAGGCCAATGCAGACCGCATGACCGCATTGACCCCCATCACCGAGCAATACATGAGCTTCAGGCAGGCACCCACCTAGCAGCCGGTCATGCTGCGTATTAGCCTCCATGCTGGGCTAGTCTCATAAGTGCAGTAACGTACAGCTGCGAGCCGTGAGGCCATCGGCAGACATAACACAGCAGGCTCATGCTCTCGCAGGCAGGACGATACACTGCATCTTTTCCTGGTGGCCGCTGATGCCCTTGCTGTCTGTAAGAAGACCGTAGACAGGCCAGCACAAAACTTGTATAGCTCTCGACCAACCTCCGCCAAGTTGACTCTTGGTTCCCTCCGTTGCAGTCCAGTACAGCATCTGCTTGCACATAAGTCGGCCAAGGGTTCCTCTGCCGAGCGATGTTTCCAACATAGCCGCGGCCAACACCCCAAGAGTGCACACAGAAATGTCTGAAGTCAATCCACGTCTGTGACCTTTAAGTCTCGAACCCAGGAACACATCCTGCATGCCAGGGGTTTACACAGCTTCACACACCGGGCTGTCAAGCTCAGACCGCAGAACTGCTGGACTTCTGCAGCTTAGAAGAGGCTTCCCTTCATGTGTTCATGCGCTGCGAAGTGCATGTGCCACCAATGCTATGATTGCTGGGAGGAGCCCTTTAGGAGCTCGCCACTTGACTTGAGGCAATTGACAGCCCAATGGACAGGGACCTATGCGCGGTTCACGTCTAGGCCATCATAGGCATGCCAGGCATTTTGGGCATACCAGGCATCATTCCTGCAGCAGAGGCCACGCGCCATGGATAAAAGATTCCATGTACCTCTGGGGTATACTCCTGAATGATGGGTCCGAGAATAGGAATTCTGACTTAAACGTTTGCATGGCTGTTTCTTGCAACGGGGCCGCTCTTCTTTAATTACCCTAAAAAGGATGAATAAACAGGCTCCTTATCATGAGGGCCTCAAGAACGAGGCCACGATTCTGAGACTGCCAATGCATTTATCAAAACCAGGTCCGCGTATACTCTGCATATCCCTGCGCAAAAACAAGATCGGCTATGATGACCATGTAGCGGGCCCTCCAAAACCATAGCTTTGAGAAACCTATCCTAACCTATAGTCTACCATAGTCAGTGGAAAAAAAATCGGGTAGTTCTTCTAAAGTTGGAAATCACCCCGGATGTTTCAACCGGTCCCAGGGATGGCTAACAAAAATGGACACCTCCCCTTATTAAAAGAACACCCCTTGAGCATAAATTCGGCCAATTTAGTACCAATATGAAATGGAAGGAATATACGTTCTTAGGGGGGTGGACGTTTATCATTAGGGGAGGCGGCTAGATTGGCTACAAGGTCCGCAAGAACTAAAAGAGGTATGCACAAAACACATGCGTGTCACGAATGTGACAGAAATTGTGCCCGGAGCGTCGGACTGGAGGAGGGGCCATCATATTACACTGTTGAAACCACCGAGGTTTGGGAGGACAAGGTTATATGGGGATCATAATACGAATGGAATACGAAATGGAAGCTACTACTTAGGATTTAGGTTGCTTATCTTCCAGACTTCAGCTTGCTGACCTTCGAACTCTCAGGTTGGAAACATGGACCCCTAACATGAGGCCCTCATCCCAAGGGTTTAGGGTCTCGGGGTTGTTTGAGGACTTCATCCTTGTGTCCTCATGTTATGCTTATTCTATACCCTACGAAACCCGAATTTTGGGCCCCTAGTTAGGGCGCAGGAAGTAAAAGTAGTTTGAGGTCCTATGTTCTTGGGGGCCCACAGCTCAAGCATTGGATGTGAGACCCTAAACCCTTTTGCATCCACCCTCAACCCTATAACCCTAAATCCCAAAACCCTAAATCCCTAGACCCCAAACCCTAAGACCCTAAATCCCCAAACCCTAAAACCCTAAATCCCCAAACCCTAAAACCCTAAATCCCCAAACCCTAAAACCCTAAATCCCCAAAGCCTAAAAACCTAAAGGCCTGGCATACTGGGCATGGAAGGCATGCCAGGTAGGGATGGGAGTGCCCCAGGCAGCTTCGGCATGGTGGGAAGCCTTGGAAATGTGGATATAGGCTTTAGGGTTTGGAGTTTGGGGTGTAGGGTTTGGGGTTTAGACGGGGTTTAGGGTTTAGGGTTTGGGGTTAAGGGTTTATTTAGGGCCTTGGATACGTGGAGCGTCTCTCTGAACGGCATACTCTACAATTTTGAACCAGGTCCTAAAACCTAAAAGCTCAAACCCGGAGATCCCTCAGAAATGTATGGATATAAGGGGATTTTGAACGTCCTTAGTAAGCCTTAGTAAGGATTCTATAGAAAGTTTGAGAAACTTCCATGTGGATAGTTTGACGAAGTGTTTTCGGGGAACCGGGGGAACAACAGTGGGGACCCCCAGACAGATATTCGGGTTCTGAAGGGGATTCCCGCAGAAACTTCAGGGATTGTATGGGAGTATTCGAAGAAACTCCAATCTGGAGAGACTTGTGGCTCCCTTGTCGGCGGTGCGGTAGTTCACCACTTGACTTAAGCTAATTTCAATCAAGACCAAATCCACCCGAAGTTAGGACATGTCCTGCCAGCCAACTCGCCAACTAGCCAGGCCGGCCATACCCACCAGGCACCAAGGAGAATACGTTCGTCTCTAGTATTACGCAATACAGTCGGGACCAACCTTGAAAGTCGAAAGACAACTTAACTTTGCCAACCGTAGTCCGATGCACAGTCTTGTAAACTGCAAAACCAGTTATGAAACGCATGCCAAGCACGCGCTGCACAAAAACAAGCAACCAAATACCCGCCCGAGAGTCATACGCCTGGTTTACAAACCGATTGTTGGTTGCTGGCTGCAGGTGGCCAGGGCTAAGCACAGGCCAGTGTAAACCCTGAAGCTTCGGTAATTATCCCCAAGCCATGCAATAGCCACAAAAGGGGACGCAGCTTACAATCCCTGTTAGCAACATTGGGCATCTTTTGGCTGTATCCCACCTAAGTATTGGCTTCAAATCTCTGCTGCGCGGCATCCCAGGCAGAATCCCGCCGATGCCCGGCTTGGGCGCCGCTGCCGCTGGCAACTTGGGCATAGGGAGCACCATGCCTGCGAAGGGACAGCTGGCCAAACTTTACCTCACTGGCGGTTACTTGGGAACAAGGGAATGTATTCTATTGGGGACTATGCAATATAGGCATGACATTCCCATTTTCCTTACTAAGTAATCACCGGTAAGTTGCAGACACAGTTCCTACCTACCTGTATGCACGATTCATTCATGACATCTCTTGCACGGCTTCTCGCAAAGTTTGCATGATGTACAGTGCCATCAACTGCCAATGCCTGGTGGTGGCGGGTAGATCGGTGGAGTGAGCCCCTTCTCACGAATCAGCATCTGGTAGTACTCAATCCTTAAGACTGGGCACGGGGCTCGCTCAGCAAGAACAGTTTTCAACAGCATGAAGGCGAATGTTCACAACTCTGTGCCTGATTGGCCTAGTATATCATAGTATAGTGTAGTGTGTAGTAGTACATTATAATATATAATGGTATACGGAGTATACCATAATATACTACAATGTGCTACTACATACTATTCTGTGCAGCTAAAAGGCTTGTTGTTGATGTGACGTCGGCCCGTCAGATGCTGCCTCCGGCCCGTGAGGCCGCTGTGCGTCAGGAACATGTCACAGTACTCGCCTGCACATGAAAGCGCATCTCGTACTGGTTGTTAGTAAGCAATATGGGAATATTCTGTATAGGGGTTATAGAGGGAATATATTCCCATATCCCCTACTAACAATCAGAAAGATGTTGTAGGTTCTGGCCCAGAAAAGTCTGCTTTGATGTCAGCTTCAAGGTCTGATGCCACCCAGCGGCAGTAGAACTTCGGCATGATCGAGCTCCGGTCCCTTTGGAAGCGCCTATGTCTACTTTGATCTACTTTGCTTTTGAGCCCGAGGCTGCGTAGCTTGACATCCTAGAGTCCTGGGGCTGACTTAGGCCAGTGCGCTGCTTCATGTCACATGGGCCAGCCAAGGTGACAGAACTTGCGCTTTACGGATCAGGTTCGAGGTTGCGAGATGCAGATTCTGCTTTGTCCTTCCAGAGTGCATGGAAGCAGGTAGGCCCCGTGCGACAGCGCTGTGATTGTTCTGCGCAACGCTGGTAAAGAGGGCTCTTCGCAACTCCTGGTAGCGGCACAAAGCTGTGCCACCCATGCCATCTAGTGGCTTGAATCTCACAAAACTTGTCTCACATAACGAAATGCGGAGTCTAAGTATACGGGCGTGTCATATGGGTTCAGGTGTTCTTTTTCAGGAATCGCGCGGCAAACTTGAAGCTCCGAGCCCCTATTTGGCTTACATGGATTGGAGCCTTTTAACGAAGCGCTCCTGAACCTTCGAGGGTGGTCCGCCACGAGCGCCCGTGAAGCACTGGGCAAGAAAGTGCAATGGCTCTCATGCCTAGAAATCTTAACACAAGAACCGTCATGAACTAACTGCAGCTGCTTACTGTCTGCTTGTGCTCGAAAAGCTGTCCCCGCTGCTTCCCCTAGCCCAACCTATTTAGTCCCAGATCTTGAACCTCTAGTGCAGTCTTGGTTTGCCCCGAGTTTGGTCCCTTCGAAAATAGCATTCCAGGATGGGAGGAGGTTCCATTATTGGGGGAGTTTACTAAAGGAGCAGTGATCGCGAGTCTCGCGTGTTGTGACGCTGTTCGCGGGTATGGTTCACCATGTTCACCCCTGGGCATGTGGGTGGACCAAGGAGCCCCTCGAAGGGAACAACAAGCAGACGAGAGCGGTGCTGGGGTTTGTGGCAGTACTCTCGTGGAGATGTCATGTTGGCGGTGCCACCCAGGCTCCTGCTAGCGTCCGGTCTCTTCCGATATAGCAGGATGCAACAACTAGTGTCTGCAGTACACCTGCCAATTGTTCATGTACATTTATCCGTGCTATCGATGAATGAAACTCCCTACATTTGAAGCGAACGTTTAAAGCAACAAATGCGGTCAAAGATAAGTTTAAAGGCGGAGGCATTTTTTGGCCCCCAGATTTAAAACAACATGTCCCAGAGCCTTCACAAATGGTCATCTAATTGTACTTAGCATGATTTACTGCTTCCTTTGGGGTATTCTAGGGGGTAGGGTTGGGGCGCTCTGATTCATCAAAAGCACGGATACACCATGGAGACAATGAAAATGGGTGTATGTGCCACGCGGCAGGACTTGTCTGCTTCCTGCGCGTGCGAGCAATGCTTTGTCCTTATTCGTAGAAGCGTCCTACAACAAGAGGAACATCATTTTGCCAACCCTTAACCCTTTTGCAGCAAGCTTGCACGTACGCGCCTGGGCTGACGCCCTGCCCAAGGACCCCTCCACCGGACTCATGCCAGCGAGAACAGTTTGGCACAGTGTCTACTCTCTATCGCACTGAAAGTACTATACTAAAGCAACCCTACACCCTAAACCCTTGACAATTACTCCGATGCTGAACCTCGTCTTCTTGGGGCCAAGCCGTTGGTACTTCTTCAACCAAGGGAAGAAACTAGGGGTTATCTAGGGGCTATATAAGGGCTATCTAGGGATTATCTACAAGCCTGAAACCATTTTCAACCCCGAACTTCAAAGCCTTCCTCTGAAACCCAAGACCTTGATCCTAACAGACAATACCTGAACCCTGCAAGTCCTACTTTGTATTTCATATTCTCCTAGCCATGAAAGGCAAAACACGAAGGGAAGGTCATTCAGGGTATCGGTCATCCCAAGCGCCCGACTCATGAAATCAGCTACCTCAACAAAATAGGTAGGGCATAAAGCCTCTAAGGCCAGCTATGCACGCCCAGGGCTGTCACCCAGGCGTCCAAGATTGAGAGCAGAGCAGCTTCGTGGGCCTTGGCCAACGTAACCCCCCAAGCCCCAGTATAACCCCAATATATACCCCAATATAACCTCCATATATACCACCACCCAGGGCTTCTAGAAGCGGCTTCTATGACGCGTGCAGTAAGGTCAGGGAGGGCTGCATCATGAGAAAGACTTCTTTCTCCTTTGGAAGGCCACTCGAAACGGAATTCCTTTTCAAAATCATGGTAAACGAGCAAAGGTTCTTCATCGAGTCTGTGTAGGGGTGTCGTTCCAATGTGCTTATCAACCTACAAACCTACAGTAGCTTTCGGCTCAAAAGCCTAGCTTTTGCCACCAATCTCCAGGCAGCAGAGAACTGCCTGCAGTTGACCGGCGATCTTTAGCTAGCCTTTACCGTGGATTAGGATCTGCAGCATGGACTCTTGGGAGCAATTCTCCTTAATGGCATGTCCAGTCATAGCTTTCACAGGCAAACATCTGAGTGCTCCACGATTTGCAACGGTGTCCGGCAACTTGACAGAACGGCCAGGAGCGCCTGAAGAGCTGTAAAAGGATGACAAGCTGACAGGGCTTCGAATCATCTTGCCCAAAGCGGTTCTGGTCACGAGACCACATCTTTGAGCAACTGCGAAGATCAAGTGTGCCATCAATGAATCACGTTAATGAGAATGTGGTACGTACAAGGTTGGACCTAGTCTTGCGCAACAAGCAGCAGCAGGATCCTAGCCGCAAGAAACTCCAAACTGGAATCCATGCTTCGAGACATGCCAATCGAACCAGTGTGCCGGCAGTGTAGTGATAGCATGGCTCAAGGCAGTGCTGCATAAGCTTCTTTTCACTGCAAAAATGACCACCTCTTACACACCTGATCTCGAAGCTTATACATGACTTCCCTGCTCCTTGACCACCCCCACCACTGTCGCAATACTAAAAAGTTCCTACTTGGAGGGTCGAGGGGTCTTACTAAGTAGCTTTGGGTAAAACTGGGTCATTACATTAGCTACAATCAATCATATTCTCCTGGACATGGGTTCCCTATTAAGGACTTCTCATATTTGGGACTATTCTAGACTACCGAGGGACCTCTATGTCCTCTTTCAAGGGTCCCTCAATAAGGCGAATCTTGACAGTAGCTCACATGGCTTATAGGGGCTGTAGTGTGTCATATCATACTACGGAGTGCCCCTTGCCCTCCAAGCAGCCCATGATCTCATCGTGTCATGCAGGCTCCTGGCGCCACTTGGTCTGGGAAGTCTGCAGCTCGCCGACAATCTCAGGAGCCTCCTCAAAATTTCTGAAACTTCTGGGTCCCCTTTCAGGGCCGCGGGAAGTGGGACTTTATAGTTTAGACATGAGCTGCACAAACTTGAGACTGGAGACTATCGAATATATATATATATAAGAATATAGAAGGATACCATAGTTGTGACAAAACACATTGCTATCTGGTTGTCTAAGCTTTCAAGGCTATGCTCCGAAGACGCGCGTAGGTGATGTGACATACAACATGCCACATACTCTGAGCTTGCTACGACCCACCATCCCATACCAACCAGAAGTCTCAATCCCAAGCGCTGGTGCTGCCTCCGCAGCTGCCAGAAGCGGTACGGCCAAATCTGCAGGAATGTGCAACCTCTGCGGAGCCTGTGCACCATAAAGCGAGGCTCGCACAGTCCAGTGAGCAGCAGCAACAACAAGCATCTTCGTATCTCTGCTTCCAAGGACGAAGGGGATCGCTGGGCATCTCGGGAAACTTTACAGCCGTGCTGCGCAGCATTCCTGCGGAAAAACTGGCCAACTCGCCTGCTATCTCCAACCCCAGCCTGTTCAGTAATGGGAAAGGGATCTGAAACCGCACGTGGCAATTTGCCGCCTTTTTTTTTGAACCTCGTCGTCACTGAGCTTTATGAAGGTCAAGCAAATGTATGACATTTTGAACGCTGGGATATGAGCAACTTGATTCTCAGGGCAGTGGCAAGGTCAAGTGTCGCGGCACGAGCGCAGCGAAGCTCTCCGCCTCGAGAGCTTCGTCCAAAGCGCTTCGATCTGCTTTGTCACTGCGGCTCAGATCTACGCGAGCTCGGACCTTGATCTGATGCGAGCAAAAGCGTCAGAACTTTTGTTGCCTTCCTTGAAACTTCCTTGCTCTTCGAAAAGCTCTGGCATCAGGAGCTTGCGGCCAAGGCTGACACGCTAGCATGAATGAGGTCTCGCATGACCTGCACGCAATCTGCCACTCTCGGTCGCACTTGTTTGGCAACTCTGGCCTCCAAATTGCCGGAGGTAGCAGCGGCGTGTAGAGGACCGCGGCCTTTCCACTTGGGGGGGTTGGGGCAGTGGGACCCGAAGGCCTCATGTAAACATCCTCACGGCACCTGACTCAAACACGAATGTGCAGCAAGAAATGACCGTCGAAGACCGATCCACACCCAAGCTGGTTTGCAGACTCTCAGACTGGAGGGGTCTGCCGGCTGAGAAGGCATGTTGATACTTGTCAGGACATGTAAACGAATTAAAGCGGGCAAGGAGTACAGTGTTGTGATCGTGGTGGCGGTGGCCGCGGCGGCGGCGGCGGCGGCGGCGTTGGCGTTGGACATAGTACGAGTACTGCAATAGTAACAGTGTCAGCGCTGCTTGCCGTTGTCGTAGGCTTGCACTTGCTTGGCAAGCTCCTTCTGTGAGGCTTTGACTCCGGGACATGCTCAGGTTCAGCTCAGGCATAGCGTCACAAGAATTTCCCACATCGTCATCCTAATCCATCCCCTGGCCTGTCTCCAGGGAAACGACGGAGGGGTCTGCCTGAGACACGTAAACGGTCGGATCTGAACCAACCACCTGCCCTATTAGCTTCAGCTCTGACATGGCCAAAACATATTATCAGCATGCATATTTCAGGGATGTGGATCTCATGAGCTTGCTGCCTGCAGAGGGAGGAAACATCCTAGGGAAGGGTATTGGGCAAGGATCCTCCCAACCAAGAACAAGTATATGTCGCGTCTCAAAAGAGGTCGACTCTACCACTGGCCTTCTGCTCCAAGCAGACTTTTACGACCGCAGCGTTGCCTTCCTCCGCAGCGAGGAGGAGGTCTCGGCCGAGCCTTGACGCATAAGAACTACATAACCCAAAAGCTTACACCATGTATAATTAACCATAAACTAGGCATGGGATTTTCTTCAAGCATCAAGGGCCTTTACGGAATCTCGGGAAGTATATAGGTACTACCAAGGGATTGTAGTTCCCCCTTGACTCCCACCAGCAAAGGATTCCATGAGAGTTCGAAAGGATGTAGCAACAAAGGTGTGCCGCAGCTGCTTGGCCTTTGACCCGCATGAGAGGCACACGGCCGGCATCACCACTTGCGCCTCGATCACTACTGACCGCCAGACGGATATTTTTTCCACAGCACATGTTCAGCTTTGCATCATTAGCAGGCCTGCAGCTTTGAAAGCACTTGGGATTTTCCTGCCCAAACCAAACATACCGTTTTGTACACTGTGCAGGTTCCTAGAAAGCACATAAGCATCTGCACTGCCGCATATGTGTTGCGACCCCCGAAATCTATCATGAAGCGTGCAACAGCGGGTCCAATGAAACGGCTCGTGCTGACGCCGACCAAGTTGTGAATGCGATACGTCTCGATGCCCCAGGCTGTTCCCTGCATTGCCGCACGGGTTGCTAGTCCTTGCGCAACACCGTTGGAGACGCTGGAGGCCCCATAGATTATGGCATCTGCGAACAGCAGTGTGCCAGCCCCAAAGAACTTCCAATCAAACAGCAACAAAGTACCGAGCAAGGCTGCTGCACTCGAGGAAACAAAAACGTGGGATTCTGGCATCCACTTTCTAGAGATCAATAAGCTGGAGAACGCCGTTAAAGTCAGGCTGACGCCTCCCACTACCATGAAAGAGGCTCCGCAAAGCTCGGCCGACCAGCCATATGAAACTTCTAGCAGCATCATGGTGGCCACCTCAATGGCCGAGATTGTAAAGGGTCGCTCGTAACTGTATGCGATCATGTATTTTAGAATGCCTTCACGAGACGCTGATGGCAATTGCTCTGGTGCAAGTTCCAGGCAATCTCCCTCTGCTTCGGGACTTGCCTCCTCAGCCACACCCTCATCAGACTGACTTAAAATTGTGGGATAGAACAGCGATGCCCCTGTCAGCTCCACGGCTGCCAAAACCACCAAGCCAATCATGGACCAGCTCATCATGCTGATAGGTGACACCTCTCGACCTTGACGAACAAGCAAGCTTAACCCAGCGAATGCAACAGGGCCAAGAACTAAGCCCCCGTTTCGGCCTGACCGCAAGCGGGAAAAATCTAATTTTTCATGGGATTCCGCTGCGTGGGGACTTTTACATAAGCGTTTCACAAAAAGAGCCTGGTGCAGCCCGGAGGAAGTAGATGCATGTGCGTTCCCACAACACAACCAATAATCAATAACCCTGAGAAGCCCCCGGACTATCCAGTTTCAAGAAGCCCCACCGCACTGCGCCATCATTTGCCAGAAGGTCTTCTCGCTGTGCGGCGTGATGATCTGCCACATTGTCATCCAAGATACCATCGGGATGGATGAAAGAAACACAGCAATGCCTGGATGATTGTTTTGGTAACGTCTACTACTACATGGGTCTCTTGCTAATGGCAAGAGCAGAATTTTAGACTGCCATTAACAAAAGGGGTGATGCAGGGCCAGAAATATCAGGAAGACTACATTTGCTGTGTAGCAAGTTCAGAGCCCGAAAACCTTATATACAAGGCCCATCGGCAAAAATAAATCCGCGACAATCAAGATAACGTTCGCCCGAGCATATCCCCATGTTATAATCGACATGTACCACCCGGTCCTACCCCGACCCGGATTATTATTGCGCCCCCCCCCCCTCCCCCCTCATTGACCAAAAAAGAAACAAGATCTGGTGGAACATTACACACAATCAAAAATTTGCGCAGATGATATGGGATGCCATTGAGGATGAGGACCAACCAAAATGTCCCACGCCGCGTAGGTATGCTCCAAGTTGCAGCCATTTCCACCAAAACCGCAGTCCCAAAAAGTAACACCAAACCTGGGCAGGATCCGCAGCCGATTTGTCAGCATGATATTTGCGTTGGAACTGTCCCTGTTGAGGAATAGGATTCCCGAAAAGGCAGGGGCGACAAACACTTCATTGCGAAGGTATTGGGCAAAATGATGACTGACTTTTTCCTGTGCTTTATGAAGATATGCCAACCTCCCTTTCTGGCTAGCCAAGAGACGAAGCAAATTGCACACCAGAAACAACCTTCTGGCAAACTGTTGGTTCCAGTGAGCCTCACTTGTGAGGGGCTTGCCTAGCACCACTCCCACCACTGAGAATACAGAACCTCCGCTGAGGAAGACACCACTGGCTGTGGCGGACTGCCCCATCGCCAGTGAAAAATCCAAGGACACAGGAACGAGCATCGCAACGTTCATGAACATCAGGATCCAGGATAACACGATTACAACTTGAAGGGGCACACTGTTCCTTTGCTCGTGGTTTGCGAATAGCGGCTTGGCACCTGCAGCAACGTACGCCTCATGAGCTGCAAGGAGAACACAAAAACCGATGACTCCCAAAAGCACATGCTCATCGATGGGAACAATGAAGTCTGAGAAGGCGTCAACATTGATCCAATCAGTCAACGGCCCTGTTTCTCCCAGAGTGGCGGTGTTGAAATCTATGACGAAGTTTTTTGGGGAGCCAACCAGAGTCCCAGCAAACACCATCTTCAGAACATGATTCGACCGCGCTTGTGAATAAAGGTTCGGTGCTACTTTGCGCTTGTGGCAAAAAAAAACTCATCTCGGCCAGCCAAATGCAGATCGGCAAGCGCAAGCAGCCGTAGCATCTGGAATTTGACTGCTTCCGTCAAATGGTCCTTGACGGAATGGGACTACCCCATCTCATATCCAAGGATTGAATTTTTTTCGTACATGTGCAAACAATTTTCAAAGCTTAAGATCGTACGCCATGGCCATACAAATAATTTCCCGTTCAATGTTCCAAATTCAATTCAATTTCGACGTGCGCTCAGTAATACTAAGTCATTACTGTGGCATTCCAAATGTACCGGCCAAAAGTGAGGATGGCAGCGACGCACAGTTTCGGGGAACTTCATGTATGGGCAGCGTCGTCCAGGATGTTAAGTACATGGCATGTCACAATGCCGTATTGACGAAGGTCTGGGGGACCCTCCGGTTTAAAAATGTACAAAATGAAGTGATGAAATTTATTGTAATTCTGATGATAAGAACCTTCAGCAAAAAGGCCCCTCACTTTCGGAAAACTCGCATCCCAAAACCTTTGTTGATGCTTATATCTTTGTGTAGATACTGGTTTTAAGACGTGCGGACACATGACAACAAAAGCATGAAACATGCTCGTCATACTGACGACATCACCAATAGAGGTTTCTGTAACAGCGAACTGGCAAACAACAAGCTTGTTTTGATGTTAGACAAAGTGCTGAAATATTACGTTGCATCTTTACGCTAAAAACGTGGGCAAGGAATCAACCTGCGCAAAGAACATGTGACACAGGAACCACAATGTGGACATGTTTCACGTGCAAACTGAAAGTGCAAAATGCTCATGCCGTTGTTGCACTCCACCATGGCAGCTGGGACAACACTTTGCGGCCTGCAGATCTAAAATTCAAGCGTTCACGAGCAAGACAGCACGCTAAAAGAGAATCGACTTACAGAAGCAATCAAAAGCTTGAAAATCCACTAGCCCCCAGCACTGAATGGACCTTCAACTTTCAGTTGGGAACTTCATCCCCATATGATCCCTAGAACCCTATTAATTACTACTATTACCATTTTTATCTATTATTATTCTTATTATCTAATGGCTTGCCAACTTGTTGAGCCCGGCTCAATACGATCAGGTGCTTCAGTAGAGGATAAATCCGTAAACGAGCCCCACACAGCAATCTCCTCGCAGGCAGAACACAATGGGCCCAAGACTTTGCTCGCCATCTTGCAAGGCGGTCGACTGCTGGAACTTCTCCCGGATAGCCTCTGCAAGCAAGCAACTGGCGAGCCCTCATTCGTGAATCTGCATAATTCAGCTCAAACATTGCAACTTCCTTTCTTCCCATCACCTGGACCTGCGAAAACTTCTCCCCGTGCCTTCCTCTTGGCCACAGAATGTGTGATTCTTGGCTTCCCCTCATCTACACCAACACTGACAGCATCAATGGCCATATACCCTGAACTCTGCGCAAGCATCCTTGCGGGAAAGCCTCTTGGTGGAGCCCGAGGTCCGCCAAAGACCGTGGAGCTCATCGGCAGCGCATGTCCTCGCCAAGAAAATCAAAAGTTGCGCCTACTACCCCAGGAGCTGCTTTGTCAGGTTCTCGCAGTCCAACTCCCTGCCCTGACTGCAAATCAGTGCAAGCCTTCTCCCCCTGCCCCCTTGTCCTGCTTACAATCGACTGCAAGCGTCGCCTTCGCCTTGGGAAAAGAAGGGCCTGAAAATGGCGCTAAGTGAGACTACTAACTACTATCGCAACCTTAAAGCATTCAGGGCAGCTTTTGACCTTGATGTGGCGGACAATTCTTGCGTCAGTGTCTCCACGACCATGAAAGTCTCTGACCCTCCGTCTTTGATGCATCATCCTCCCGTCTATGATTCATGGTGTATGCGATGGAGCTGCCACGCGACTTAACAAGATTGCCGCCATTCCCGTGCCTGGAGACCTACCATGCCATCTTGGCATCGGGCGATCGCGCTTGCGCCCTGCCCAGCCAAGTCGGGAGTTGCCGCAGATCTGCTACATGTTGGGCAATCCGTTGATGCATATCAAGACCCAAGAAGCATGAGGTATTGCCATGGCCAAGCCTAGAGGCCAAAGTCAGTCTGAGTTGCAATGGACGCATCCCTGCATGACGAACACATCAGCTTCGGCACGCTTTTGGCAACTCTTGGCTCTTACTGCAAGCGGCCAGCACCCTACGGAAGGGTCGCAGTTGCCGAGCACATCTTCATCCTCGAAATCTCGGGTGAAACAGGGAGCCGCTGGCTGAGGCTTGGGACATGAGCAAAACCATCAGAAGGGCTGTCCTAACAACCTGGTTCAACAACTTCACCGCTACCTCCCAAGCATCATGAAGGGTTTACGGAGCGCGAATCACCTCTTTGCAATACAACGTCCAACATTGCGGTAAGATGCGGTGCAGGAAGCTCAAGTAGACGATCTATAACTCCATCCCGTGACGTTTAAAGCTGAGACGGAGGGATCGCTAGTGACGCCAGATCTTCAGCACTCGATCCTTTCCGCCGGTGGCCACCCGCTGCCCATCCAAACTCCAGTCCACAGCATAAACCTGCCAGGAAGTTTTAATTCAGAACGCCTGTTCGTTGACAGCCACGCTGCCGCTATACGACAAACCCATACAAAATGTATTGTTGTCGGTTGCATATCAGGGTCACGATGAGGGTGAGGGATGAACTAGCTACAGAGTTTGAATGAAAGAAAATGGCAGCTTATCTTGACTGGAACTTGCAAAGGATAGCGTCGCATCAACGCCACCCCGTTGTCTTTGCTGCATATCCCTTCAGCCTGAACCAAAATAAGGGGACCTCAATAGGGACCCCAAAAAGGTACCCATTATTTAATGGAAACCCACCATATTTCCAAAGGAACCTGAGGGTTCACAATAAGGGCTCTAAAGAACCTGTGGCATCCCCCAGCCTCATCTGCATGGCCTGGCAAATCTTCTTGCAGCTTACGCCGGCCGATGTCCTTGTGACAGAGGAATGGGGGTTATATAATCCCTATAGAACCCCTTGATAATCCCGATATATCCCTATAGTAGTTTCCATTTTCTTTTCCATTATCCCAACTTCACCCAAATTTTTTGGGCGCTTCAGGGTCCCAATAAAAAGCGCTGTAGTACATTGGGGTCTATGTTGAGGTCTCCTTTTTGGGGAAACAAATTACCAAATCAGGATTGCTTGGAAGGCTCATAGCTTCAGGCGTAAGCAACTTTCAGTCCTCCTGCAGATGTTGGGGCACTTGGGTGCATGCGTTTGAGACAAGGGGCGGTTCCGAAGCAAAAAGCTTGGTGGTAAGGTAGCAGAACAAGCCGTCACATGTCAATGTCATGGTCATGCACATAGGGGGTTACACTTAGAGGGGGATCTTGAGAGGACTCCAGGTGGAGACCTCCCATGGTTTTCAGGGGCAATCAGGAGATCTGCTCTTTTGAATTTGACTTGCATGAATCCATGCCATGTGTCTGTTGTCAACACTATTTTTTTGGGGGGGGCCCAACATCGGGGGTGCCCGTGAACCAGTGCTGCGCAAGGACACCAGCAACCTACATCAGTCGTAGGTACCAAGGTGCGATCTGGGGACAACTTGAACTTGCGGGCCTTCCATCCCTTTTTCGTCGCTGTTGTCCCTACTTGGGTTCACCTAAATTTCGTAATTGTCGGTTCACATGAATGCGTCTGAGAGTCCCAGCACTTTGCTGTCGAGTCTTTCGACACGCTGACAAGAAGGCGGCTGTCAGCGGACCATGCAAGCTGGTACACATCTCCTGAGCTGCTGCAAAGAAAGCTTGGGATGTTGAACATCACCACACATCCAATGCTCGCAGGGATGTGTTATGCCACATGGCTACCTGGATTCACTGGGTTGCTGTTAATGAACTTAAGTTCAGTTCCCGTAATGGGTATATAGTGTAAATGATAGGCTTCCCCCAATAAAGTAACTTAAGTTTAAGTTCCTTAACAGCAACCCACTTCAATTCAAAGGCATGGGCTGAGTGACCCGCCTACATGGCCACGAAAGGCGTGGACATATTTGCCCGTTCGGCCATCCCAGAGTCTGAGGCAAACCAAGCACCAAGCACAATCACTTTTAGCTTGAGGAGGATAATAGGAGTTGTATAGGGACTATATGGGTGGTTGTCCTAATTCTGATCCCTTTTTTGGGTGCCCTAAATATTGGGTGCCGTATTATGATAGGGATCCAAGAAGGGACCATAATTTTGACAACCACCCATGTCGGGGTTATATAGGACGATGTACAGACAGATGTGGAAGGCAAGACCGACCCTTCCAGAAGCTACAGAACACAATAGAACGCAGCGGTCAGGGTAGTAGAGGCTACATAGGGACTGAATAGGGATAATGGAAAAGTGGAAACTACTATAACATATGAGGGTATACATTGGTTTTCTGTAGGGATAATTGAAAAATGGAAACTACTATATTACAACAGGGTATAGTTCAATGAGGATAGCCAAGACTCGGAAGACAAGCTCCAGAGTCTCACGGTGAATCCCATGCATTGCCACTGCTACAAGTCTAGCATAGGCCAAGTGATGCCTGAAGCCAGCTAGCCAAAGTGGCTACTTAGTAGCCCGAAAAAGACTGCTGACAAGCGCAAGCCAAAAGCCTGGGAATGTTCGATCTTTAGTCCCTAAACATGGAGGAGCTCAATTTGAAGAAGCCTCATGATGAACTATAGTAGGGCAACACTGCGCGCCTGACCGACTTGTCAAAGGAGGCAGAAGCAAACCACCGGCCATCTGGAGAGAAAGCGACTTGGTTCCTCAGAAGAGTAGGTTGTAGGAGAATCAGGGTCTCAGGCCCCTTGGAGGAAATCCTGATTCTGCCTCCGTCCACTGTATCTACATGCTATGGTTGATGCAGAGCCTGCGCAAAACTGACCGCGAATGGAAAGCGTACGCATCGCCTTTCTGGCTCCAATCGTGTTGCGTTCTGAGTGTTGTGATAGAAAAATTGTGGATATTTGTTGATGCATCGATGGACACAAAGCCTTTCCTGCGGGACCACAAGAGAAGCTTGACAAAAACTTCGTGTTCTCTTCTAGCTTCGAGGACCCCACCATCAAGCCTTCCTGCTCTACTTGTGGCGTCAGGTTACCAGAAAAACCTCCGTGCAATTTCCAAATATTCGTTACACGTCACCCAGGGCAGTGCATCCGGCTCATTCAAGCCGAGGTTCACGATCTTCTGGTGCCCTGTCATCCGGCATACCGGTGTCTTTGAAACCTTGGGCATCGCACTAGTGCGGCATGGCTTCGGTTGATGAGGCGGCAATGCTTGGGTTTTGCCTCACGACTCAGCACATGGTTAACGGTTTCAGAACATGTTTCACCACTTGGCATGCCACAACATTGACCCAGCAAGGAACACCCTTCCAAACCCCCTGCGAGCATGCCATCATGTCACTCGCAGTGCTCTCGCCCGCGGGCGTTTCTGCTGACATGCGCGGTCAATTCGCAAACTGCACGAGGGCAATGACACTTAAACCCTCAAAGAAGAATCCCCAATTTGCCTTCCGGAAGTCTTCAGACAATGGGACACGGGATAGAAAGGCTTGCTGGCGGGTTACGGTTGGCCGCCAAAGAAAGAGCGTGAAGTCATCGGAGCCTGACAGCAAGCGCTCGCCGCCACATAGCTCCACCTGAGCGCCACGCAATGTGTTTGGGGGGTTTGCAAATTTCACAAGGTGCGAGCGTCTTTGCTTCGGGGTCCGGGTGACATGTTAACGATCTTAGCATGCTTGGAAGCCACCTAGCACTTGTACCGACCCGAACAGACGGGCAGCGAAATGCTCCATGAACCTTACCAAGTGCGACTGACATGGGCCATGAACGCTATGCCGCCTTTACTTCCCCCAGTCGCCACGCCCAACTGAAGCCGCGCGCCCGTTAAAACAAGAGAACCAGATGGATGAATGGATCCCTGTAGTACCCCATCCCCCGCATGTAAAGGCCAATGATATGTGGGAGCTTTCATGTTCTTGTTCGCGCCTTTATTCCCCTACTACCAGGTTTGGCAAAGTGATTCAACCGTTTCTGAAGTAGGCCTGCCTCTCTGCTGTGGAAGAAGGATCTCTCACTGGCTGGAGTACACGTAGGATTACCAAGGACATTTGGGGATTGTTCTGGCATTCTTTCGGTCCATCTACAAGATAGCTTGGGCATACCGCAAACACAAACCGTAGAATAGGTCTCTTGGTTGGGGCAATTTAAAAAAGAATGCGCTGTGAATCCAAGCGTTAATCATTTTGAGCTTTGTATTTGTGAATGCATTTGCGGCGGGACCACAACATGTGATTGGGCACCAAGGTCGGTGATGAAAACCATTTGGATATTGGCATTGCTAACGTTGCCGATATGTACTTTTGACCCCAAAGTGCTTCCCGCCCACGCCCCTTGTCTTGAGTATGGAATTCCTGGCGCCATTCTGACCACTCATAAACTCTGCATGACATTGGCGGGCCCCTTTCTATCTCCACTGCTTGGCTCACGGCTGCTGCTGCTGCTGCTGCTGCTGCTGCTGCTGCTGCTTTACAATCTCTGCGAGCCGAAGGACAGCTTCCGTGTATCTTTTCTTGGCTGCCTCCTGACGTTGGGAAGCAAGAACCCACTCGTCTGGCATGCTGTTGCCCAGGCGTGAATCACAGGACGCTCCCAGTGCAACGACCTCAACGACACATAATTATGGATATCGCATTGGACTGCTGCTGATGGTCGCATCATTCGGACCATGTTGCTTACCCGGAGCAAGGTCTTTCAAGAAGAAGCTACATCCCAAGCAACGTGCCTTCTTGGCCGAGAGATCGGCAAATTTCTGAGGTTCGTGTGAGAAGGGGCCGGACCGTATGGCGTAGTCCTCCGAGTCCGACTGGCAAACATGAGTGCATCAAATTGCAGGCTGCGACTGGGAGGCTTGTTCCGTGTTCTTCAGCGGCAGCAAAACCGTAAACTCAAACTGTCCAGACTACGGTCTTGCCACTGTTCAGATGTCCGGGCTACTCACGCTCTTTGAGAAGCTTCTGGACTCTCTCTTTCTCTCTGTCTGTGTCAGCGCGACTTTCACCAAATCACAGAAAACTTTCTGAGAAAAGAGGTCCGTGTTCAGAGCAAGGGTGTTGATCCAGTGGCCGTGACCTTTCAGCTCATTCCTTGGTTGTTCCAGGCCCCGCATTGCGAGTAGTGGCCATGGCGTGGAGCAGCGCGCTGCTGGAGCTCTACATGGTAGTTTCCCTAAACAGGAGGACTCCCATGTAGGCCAGCCCAAATCATGTTGGCGGTTGTAGTGCCATGAATCTCCATTTGTGGTATACAATATACCGTATCAAGTATGTTTAAGGTTGGAGCATGTCATAATTCTGTGTTTTCACAACAAGCAGAGAAGTCAGGCCGAGCTTCAGCATGCCGCCATCCTTGGGATTCCAGACCTTGATCACCGTGTCCCGGCCAGCGGTATACACAACGCCGCCGATGTCAGAGCGCTCTCCGGACCATCTTACCTGGGACAACCTATCATGGCTTCAGACCATTGAATTTTAGTCGGAGATAAACCCACCTGATCAACTCTCAAAACCAGCTAAGCTACCTGCATCACAGGCTGAGAGTGGGAGGTCAAGCTCCGGAGGCAAACGCCCACACTCACATCCCACAAGCGCACGGTGGTGTCCTTCGAGCTGGTAGCCAGCCTGGGTGGCTGGATTTGACACGAAGACCCGTAAAAAGCGATGCAACGGCAGTCTAGGTACGGCCTCAAAGATGCATAGACTTCCGCAACCTGAATCACGATAAAATGTATCCGTCCCCAAAATGCTGCTTCTTCCTCCTGAGTATCCAAGGGAAGTTTTCTGCAACGTGCAGTGGCTGCCAGCAAGCTCCAGTGACTGGCTGCGTGTGACCCTTCCTCAGTGCGTGCTGAATAAGTGAGTTTGCCATGCAGGGCTGACATCACTCGGAATTGATTGGCTGATGGCAAACTACTAAGTATATTGGGGGTATGTTGGGATAATGGAAAAGAAAAATGGAAACTACCATGGTATATTGGGGTTATATTGGGATAGTGGAAGTTGCAAGTCTTCAGCGTTGCGCTCGATGAGAGAAATAACTCCAAGCTTCAAAGCTGCCAGGTTTTTCCCGGACTGAGCACACCAGACCAGAACGATCTTGTCCATGCCAGCCTTCGTTCAGCACGCAAACTGATCAAGACACATCATCATGTGGATCGCTCACCTGCACCCAAACCTTGAAGACTATTCTTGCTGGGGAAAGGAGGTCACGGTTCTTTCTGCCTTCTAACAATGCTAACAGGACCACCTGCAATTAACACAGGTCGACGGCTGTTTATCCACAGCTGAGGCTCTGAAGCAAGCTTGGATCCATCCGGTGACCAGGCCACTGCAAGGACCCAGTTCTGATGACCTCACAGAAAACGACATTGAATCCAAGGTATGAATGAAAGTGAGGCATCTGACCCATCTTCCTTTCTGGTCCCAGCATTTGGATTAAGAAAGGTGCGCTCTGCAAAACCTTAAAGGACATGTTGTTGCGATGTCAACAGCTCTGCTCTGAGTCCGGGCTGCCTTTGCAAGTGTGCTTGGGCAGCTCCGTGTTCAAGTCCCAGAGCCTTGCGCCATGTAAAGACTTGCCGAGGCGGCCGTCATACAGCTGCACAAGCCATGATATAGTTTACGAAACATGGAAGCATGATGGACGGCACCGCGCACATTTCAACATCGCGCGACTCATGTAGTACCCATGTGAACTTTATTTCTTTGGAACTTGGTGATGCCGACTTGAAGGTGCAGTCAAATCTACTCACGAATGTCACGTCGATTTCGGCGAGTGTCCTAACTGCGTGCAGCATTCTGGACCATGCCTGTGATTGTCGTATGAATAATCTTGCATCCTTGCCGTTATGAACCTCAGGCTTCTTTTCTTGCCTGGCACTGCGCATGTCCCACAGCCTCACAGTAGAGTCTCCGGACCCACTTGCCAGCTTCGTAGAGTCTGGAGAGAAAGCAACGCACAGAACGGCCTGGCAGTCAAGTAATCCGTCGAACATCTTGCACAACTTGGGATCTCCAAAATATTGTTAGTTCATGTCTCATTTGATTTTCCATTTGCTTCTCTATTCCACAAACCCTAAACCCCGAACCCCAAACTGGGTCACAAGGGCACTGACTTGCTTCATGGTCTCTGGAAGTCATGTTCTGCAGATAAGGATGTGCTGGCAACCTTTCCCCGGAAAGCAACTTGAAGTTTACCGCCACCCCACCCCAAACAACGAGACCCACCTCAGGGGCGTCGCACTCTTATGTATAAGGCGCACACACACACAACTTTAACAAGAAAGTAATTACCTTTTTCTAGTGGGGACTACGCCGCTACAATTAGCTAAATGCCAAGGCCCCTGTCCCTTGTCAAAACTGCTACATAACTGGTCCAGATCCACAGCTGCCTCTATGTGCCCGCTGAGGGATGAAGTGCAGCGCGTGATGGGCCGCACTCGGAAGACTGCCAGGGGATAGTAAACAACCTGCGCTAGGCCAGCAAAGACATCAGTAATGCTTCCTTGACTGTTGAGGAGACTCCGAGTGTCGCGCTTCGATCAAAGGTCTTTGGGAAGGCAGGATGCGAGAGGCTGCCTTTGGCCTTGTTGCTGCACAAAGGTGCTTCGAATACAAAACAAGCATGCTGCGCGGCGGTAGCTTTTGTGTTTGCGGCAGGGCCCTGCACTGCTAAGCCTCGACCCGCCGCAGACCCTGAACAAACGAGCAAAAACAAATGTAGGAATGACCCCTTAAGCCCTACACTCCTAGACCGACAAACCCACTACGCCCCAGGCCCAAAATCTGCGTTGCCTTGAGGACTCGCTCCGTAGACTGCTGGCCTTTGGCCAGCTTGTTAAACGAGGCCGCCAGATTCCTGGAAATCTCTGAGATCTGGGAGACTGTCTAGGGCACTTATACGGGTTGTGGATAACTTCATGTAAGGATTCTTAGTGGATTCTGAGTGAGGTTCAAGGGGAGTTAGATCAGGCTTTAGAAAGTCTACTGGCATGGACCCCAAGCTTGACAGCAGGTTGCCCAAGACATGTCGATGGCTGCTTTGAAAGCTCCACATTCCTTCAGGGCTTACATTAGCTCCCATTTTCTTTTCCATTATCCTGATATATACCCCAATATACTATAGCAGTTTCTATTTTCTTTTCCATTATCCCAATATGACCCCAATATACTGTAGTAGTTTCCATTTTCTTTTCCATTATCCCAGTATAACCCCAATATACTATACTAACTTTCCATTTTTCTTTTCCGTTCTCCCAATATAACCCTAATAGACTGTAGTAGTTTCCATTTTCCATTATCCCGATATACACCCAATATACTGTTGTAGTTTCCATTTTCTTTTCCATTCTTCCAATATAACCCCAATATACTGTAGTAGTTTCCACTCTCTATTTCATTATCCCAATATAACCCGAGTATACTATGGTAGGTTCCATTTTATTTTCAATTCTCCCAACATAACCCGAATAGACTATAGTAGGTTCCCTTTTATTGTCGATCCTCCCAAGATAACCCCAATGTACTATAGTAGGTTCCATTTTATTGTCCACTATCCCAATATATGCCCCAATAGAGTACAGGAGGTTCCATTTTATTTTCCATTATCCCAATATATACCCCTATATATACCCCATAATCTTACCGTAGCCCAACAAAGCCCAAAGTTGATCAAAGCACCGCAACGTTCTTTTGTCCCTGGCATTTGTTATAGGCTGAGGCATAGGAGGATGCTTCGGGTAAGCCTTACCTTGACTGTTGGGGTATATACTGGGAGAACGGAAAATAAAATGGAACCTACTATAATATGTTCAGGTTGTATTGGGACAATGCAAAAAATAGAATCTACTATAGTATATTTGGGTTATATTGGGATAATGGAAAAGAAAATGGAAACTAATAAAGTATATTGGGGTTATATTCTGCAGGTCGAGAGTCGTGGTGATCTCCGACTCCTCCAGGTGGAAACTGTATGGCATCTCTTCCTTGGGAGCAGCGGAAGAAGTTGCAGTTCAAGGAATGGTTATAGGGGTGCTGGTCCGGTTATACAAGACAAGGTTCAACGCCTTTTGCCACTGCTCTCTCCAAATCTTGCGGGCCCCTCATACTTCACTTCTTTGGCGCAAAACTGAAATTTCCAGAAGCTGTCCACACAAGTCAGACAATCTTATCAGGTGGGTAGTGTGAACTGCAAGATGTAGACATGTAGAGTCTGAGTAGGAGCATTCCCCCAGAAACAGCGCGCACCTAATCAAAAGGACCGCTTTCATTCCAACTACTCTGGAGCACCGGATTTTCCAGCAGGACCCGCCAGGACCCCGTATGACCACCAAATCGCTACGAACCTTTTTGAAACTCTGCATGAACTCCACTCATTAACAACATATATATATATATTCCCTATATAGTTAACCCTAGCATATAATAGTTTGCCTTTTCTTTTCCACTATCCCAATCCCTACTCCTGGTCTATCTGGCCCCACATTCCAAAACGCAGGCTGCCGGGCCAAGCTGCTGCATTCTCGAGCAGCTGATTCAAGAGCCTTTGCTCACCGAGCCATAAGAAGAGAGTCGCTGCCCGCCGCTTTAAGACCATGAAAACTCTCTCTACATAATCAATGGACCATCCCCTGAAAGACCCTGAAAGCAAGTTTGAGGGGGTGATGTAACTTTGGGGAGGAGCATGTCCAGCTGTGGGGAGCGCATATGCAGCAGAAATACCCGGGTCTCCTCACCTTCTTTCTGCAATGACTTCTGTGCATTTCTATGAAACTCCACAAACGCTGCCAGACTGCCGCTCTCAAGCAACGGCAATCTGCAACCAAAGCCCAAGCCCACAAGGGAAAGCCGACGCATCACGAATGGCGAAGGTGTGAAAGTAGGCTCTTCGCGGGCATTCTGAAGGAAGTCTCATTCAACTTTCTGCCGCACCCTTTCTTGAACCAGTAATGAGATAAATCTTTAAGCTTGAGTTATGGAAACCCAGGTCTGCATCCGAGCCACGTGCCCAGCTGTTCCTTCGAAGTACCCAAAGGCACATCCAGTTGTGGGCCCGCAGACTTCCTGGGCGAAGAGGAGGGAGGTCTTGCAGTTGAGGAGGCTTTGGGATGAAAGCTGCAGGCCTGCAGTTAGGCCCGGCGTTGTGCAACTACTCTGAGTTGCTTACTATATCATAGCACATTATTATAATATCTTATTATAATGTACTATATTATACTATGGTATATTAGGACATATTATAACACATTTTTATAGCATATGAACATAATGTACTGTAGTATGTTATGGTTATGGTATATTAGGGTTTTTTGGAATTCTTTGACGCCATTGGGGCCGGTTGCCTATATAGGGGTATGCTTTGGACTTCTCTGTCCTGAATGCAATTGTCACGTGGGGACGAGCCCTGTTGGTGTATCCTGGTCCGGGCGAAATCCCGACAAACCCGTGAGCACTCTGTATAAGCTAATTTTCCACATCTTTTTCCGTCTTCTTTTCCCGTGGACTCTCCATTTCTGGGTGTGGTATCCCTGTAGAACCTCTAACATAGCGCCTAATTACGTAGTACTTGCCCTGCATTACACATGGCACTGAGCCTCGGACCCTTCCGGGTCCACGAACTCTATCAAGGCCTGTCCTGGGTTCTGGGCTTCAAAACATGGGCTGTGACGCAAAGAGATCTGCGTATTATCGGATCCCGTGCCAGACGGGCACGCAACGCTGTGACTTGACCTTGTTTTCTTGCAAGCCGCCTTGGCTACATAGCTCACCGCCACCCCGTCAAAAAGGATCTTCCTAAATGAGCACGGATGTACGAAAGGGCCTTTCACACTCTATAAGCCTACGGATCTCATTCTGTAAGAGATCTCGTCCAGTACCATCTGCTGCTGGTCTACGGCAATTCAAACGTCAAAGCCCTTGCAATTGATAGCTATAGGATCCATTCATTCCTCATACCATTGGGTTTAAACCCTACTAGGACCTTCCAAACTCGCAACAGGGCGCCATCAATCGCGAGGGTCGCTTCGGCAGCTGCTTTGAGCTTTGAGGAAACCACCTGGTCTGCAACTGAAGGAAGTTGTGTGGTTCAAATGGTTGAGGGTTCAATTTTATGGTAGTATAGTAAGATAGCGCAGTATTGGGGGTTGAGGTTTCAGGACTTATGGCCTCCAGCAGCACCCTGGCTTCAGCGCGTGTTGCTGTTATTGCAAGTTTTCGTGTGTTGAGATTTCAGATTTGTCCGACTATGGGACTGAATGAAGATCCAGCAACTTCTGGAATCCTTTCTAATAACTTCTGACTTGGTTGGCCTTTAGAACCCTTTAAACAATTTGTGTATATAGGGTACTTATGAAACTAACAAGGGAGAGTTGGGCGAATACTTACATACCCCAAAAGATAGCCCAGTATCATCACTCGCATCAGCTTCAGGTGGTGGCTTCGCAGCCCTAGACTCCCAGTAACTCAGTTACCCAGACCCCGTAAAGGATCCAAACAATGCAAACCCCAAAAGATATGATCCCAATACTACATTGGAGAATCGAGGGGATAATAGGGAGGTTCTGTTTTTTGCATCCTTTAGGGGGTATGGGTATTCGGTTTATGTCGCCTAACCAAACCCAGGGAAGGCAAAGGTAAAGATACCTTTTCGATGCCACTACAGCTCATATGGGAAGGTACCCAAAATTTAGGCACACATGAGCCATAGTCTAAACTCCTGGTATCCCCCTTAATATCTCCTATAGTAGTACAGTAGTCCCCTACATAATTCCCTTTACGGAGTTTAGACTATGGCTCACATAACCTACCTCATCATAGTCAACTTGCTAGGGTCCCCTAGCCTCCTGGGCCGCTTTCTTTTCCGCAACTCTCCTTGGATGCTTTCAGAAACACCGATGGATGAGTCAACCTTATCGGCTCCCATTCAGATGGTCGTGAGATGGGGCTTGTGTTCTGTGGGGGCACGCATGAGGCACTGAGTGTGCCACCGCATGATAAGACACGCAAGGCTCAATAGTTGAGATCCATTTTTTCTGACGAGAAATTCACAGCCGAGTTGGGCAGCAGCAGTCGGAAGCTGTCAGATACCAACGCACAGTCCTTCTTCCAGGATCCCGACAAAACACGCATGTGAGCTATGGTCTGAACTCCTAGTATCCCCCTTGGTAACCCGTATATACTACTTCCCTTTTTAACCGCCCTTTAAGGAGTTTAGATTCATGTTCTTTTGACAACAGGCGCTGCCAGCTTCAGTGCAGGCCAGGCTGCCTCTTCTTATTCGGCCGTGCCGACATTGAGGAAGCCAGCGTCTTATGCGTGTTCCGTCCCTGCATGTGCCCTGATACATGCCGATTCACTATTGGTGAGTTTCGCTGCCAATATGCAATGGAAATCGATGGAAACAATGACAACCTGGCCAGCCTTCAGCAGCTGCGAGTAAGTGAAATTTAAGGCCTAGGAGTCACAGGCTCCCAGAAATCTCAACGTCTTTGCAGAAGTCGTTGGGTGCTTTTGCCTCAGCACGTGCATCTGGGCCCAGTTCGTGGCCCAAGTGCTGCCACTCCACCATATCACTCAGAAACAGGAGTCCTGTACATAATGTACACTTTCAAGCAGCGATGTTCGCATGGTTCTCCTCTGTACAAAGTTGAGACCATCTTAACACCCTGCTTAGCAGTGCGTGTCAGCTCCAGGCAATATTTACAGAGCTGGATAAAGGGAAGCATTTGGCTGCAGACTGGTTGGACATGTTGCCATCTGCTCATCTTAAGATACTCCACTGCTTCGTGTAGACAGTGCAGACGTCTCCTACCGGAGATCACCAGCCAATCCAGCCGCACATCAGAACTCCACTATGCCGCAGTCCTTAGAGGGTGGGGAATGGATGACAGGCTTCTCACAGCAAAAACCAAAAGCAGCTTTGAGATTTTAGGTTAGGCCTGACCTGGAACTGAGACCAAGGTTCGAAGGTCATTCGGCAAGAGGGACTGTGGCCAACAACTCATCGAAAAGATTCGCGGGCCGGCGTCGAGGGTTGACATTCCTCTTCAAATGCGCGAGGTGGCAGAAACGGGGGCGGGCGGAGGGTTTGTGGTCCCGCCTTATACAATGTACTGGTCAAGGACTGAGGCTCGGTTATCCACCTGCCAGCCCTTCATGCAGCCAAGCATCACGACGGTATTGCGTCGAACGATGGTGCGCGTGGGTCGCAGCTTCTGGCGCGTATGGTTGAAGCTGCTTCCTCAGGCTGAGGGAAAGCAAGGCAGGTTCCAAACTTCTGAAAAAAAGTAGCCGAGCGCATCGCTGGCAGTCTGTTTAAAGATGCAGCCCAAGTTGCCAACTGGGAATGCTCGACTTGCGTCCTCATGGTGTAGCACGGCAAGGGCTGTTGCTGCACCAGGACTCTACAAGTCACGTATCAGACCCCAAACCCCCCAAACCCTTGGGCCCCATGCACTCCTAAACCCCCCACCCCTTCGCCCCAAACTCTTGATGCGGGGTTTCTGAGAAGGCTACCCGGGACCCAGGTTTGAAGTTTAGTATAAGGTGCCATAAGAGCAAAACAGGGGTGTTGCCTGAAGATTGGTCTTGGTTGGGGCCAAAAGAGTTTCTCAGAGAATTGCGGCAATTCTTTGAGAAACTCCGATGTGGGTCAAGGAACATCACCCCCTTTGCTTCGTCTAGGAACACTTCAAAGACGGGAACCCCTTACTTTGAGAAATTCCTACGTAACCCAAAGAACACGGCGAAGCATGTATGGACCTCGCAAAAACGAACCCACGTATGTATGGCAGGATTCTGATAACACCAACTTTCACATATATTTTGCAGTAAACAACAGAGTAGCCCAATTTACATTTAATCGTCCAGCTTCTTCTCCTGTAGCAGGTCATATCCATGATCCCTAACGCCTAGATAGTAATTTCATTTTCGTTCCCATTATCCCTTAATATAGCACAATATAACCATTACCCCATATATAACCCTATCGGGAGAAGCCCCAGATATTCCGCTGTAGAAATCCCCCCTTTAAGGAGTTTGGGCTATAACCCACTTGGCCAAGGCACATCGGGGTCATCTTCCGGCCAACCTTCCGCAGCCAAGGCGAAAGCCAACTGACAGCTGTCAGGATCATCCCTGGAAGTAAAGACCAGGTCCTGGGGCCCACCCAAAGGCTCTTCCTTTAGGGTTCTTTGGTAGGGGATTCTAATCCCAGAAAGGAACCATGCAGTATAGGAGGTTCTGGGTAGGGCTTTCTAGGAATTTGAGGCTTAAGGGGAGAGGGATTGTTCGGACTTGAGGGCTTAAGGGGTTGCAAGACTCTTTTTTTAGCGGCCATTTTGCCACCCAGGCGTTAAAGGCCTCTTCAAGGCCGGCCGTCCTCAAGCCCCTCTGTGCGCGGAGGGGCAAATAGTAGGACTTAAGGGCTTAAATCCTTTAGGGTGCCAGGGATTTCAGGCTGCAAGGTAAATAGCTTTCAGGCTCAAGGGTTTAAGGGTTTGGGAGTGGGTTGAAGAGGTTTTCGTTTGAAGGAGTTGGGGTTGGGGCATTGAAAGGGTTTCGGAATGGAATCGATGTTTCAATCCTAGAAATTGAAGGCTGCATGCAGGGGTTTCGCAACTTGTATGGCACAGGGCAGCGCAAGGCGATGCACAGGCTTAGGGGTTTAGGGTATCATTCCTTTTTTTGGTACGGCTATGGTGCGGAAAAGAAGGCACTCTACACAGGAATGGTGCAGGCATATCGCTGACAATGCTTCAGGCTGATGCAATACATCGCGTGAACCGCGGCCAGCGCGGCAGGAGGAAACAAGTGGCACTGGGCTTGGAGCAAAGATTTCATAACGATTTCCTGATATGTGTTCACGACCTAGAGTCTAGAGGTGCTTTCGGAATGCATGGAGAAACTCAACCCTTGTCAGTTGGATCTGCCTGACCTGTGAGAAAGCCCCAAATGCCAAACGTCAAGAACGGGAAGATGAGCAAAGCATCAGAACGAAACCTCACGCCACCTCCTCAGAAATGCAACCCAACTCGCATGGAACATGCACCCACCTCCTTGTGACGTGCACTGAACTTTGTCTGTCAGCCTGTGAAAAAGAACTACTGGCCCTGTAATCTCCTGGTGCTCCTCATGCACCCATTGCCGCCCCAAACTTTGAGAAACCCTCCATTCTGCGGCAGGTCGCCATGCCATACGTTGCAAGAAGTGCGTGGCACATGGAGGGCAGACCTCAGATTCCCAAAAGACTCCAGAGCAATGCTTCTCTAAACGGGGTGACAGTGCGAGTCTGACCCCTCTGGCTAGTCAGGGCGCATGATGCGCGAGCGTCGAAACTCTCGGACGCTGTTGCAGGCGCTGGCAACAAGTCAGCCTTGTGACCTGAGAAGCTCCGGATGATAGAGTAGTCTTTGTCAGCTGCATTCCTAGTCTTGTGGTACTGCTATTTGTCTCTGCGTAACGTTGCTGATGGTGCTAGATTTCTAGTTTCCTTCCCTGAAAAATTAGCCTCAGATTGCAGCTGAAAAACCGTTCGACATCCAAGCAGCAAGCCGAAATTCTCCCAGACACGCAGATTCATTTAGCTTGGACATTCGATTATCCAATTTCAGCATTCCAAATCAGATCCACGCTACTCCAAACCTTTGCCTGCTCTGCGGCCAGGTAGCAGACCAGCAACTTCGGCATGAGCCGAAACCTGAGACAGTCAAGGACCTTGAGGCCCTGCCTGTAGTTTCAATCTCCTTGCGCACGTTTCCATAATTATACACATTTGCGGACATGTACATATATATATATGTATATTAATGTGTTCGTTCGTATACATGAGTATGTCATGTATACTAGCGTAAGTACTCAGAGACCATCTTGAAGCTGCGGTCCCAGCAACTTGTTTGCGCCAACCGTCTGCCGAAGTTCCTCGATACACCAAGCTGCTTTGGGCAGAGAGTCCTGCAAGCTTGCAGACTGTTGGATATAGATCATGCCTACTAAGCTTCCTTAAGCCTCCCTGGCAGCCGCTTTACTCTCAACCCAAATTCGAAACTGGTGAATGAACTTCGGTCCTGATAACCCTACTTGGTCTTGGCCATGTCAAGACACGGTAGCTGGTTGCGCGCACATTTGGAAGCATCCTAGGTGAGGGATCCCGTCGTCCTCCATCCGCCCGGCATCGAAAACGAAGAGGGCTGCAGTGTGGCCGTTGTACAGAGCCGCAGACAGAGGAGTCCCCCTCACCTCAAGGCCAGATTTTGCAGCATGGCGCCACATGCAATATCATTGTAGCTGTTCCGTTTTGTGGCCGTTGCGATGGCAATGGAGAAATGCATCAACAAGGAGAGCGGTATGCTACAACCAGCTTGGTATGATCCTGCTTGGAGTTCCCGCCCTCGGCCCACCGTGCTGCGCTTGTCCACCACAGATGCGGGTAGGGTCATGCCGTCAAGCTCAGCCATGAAGGAGTACCTGGATTGCTGGCTGAATGCCAAAGATCTGAAGGGCGAGAACACTGACTGCATGCAACCAAACCAAGCTTCAGCAGTCGCAATCAACACCATAGCCCTTCCAGATGACTCTCTAGGACAGAAACCAGCTTTTAATCTGTCTTAGAATTCACATCTTCTTCCCAGAATCCTTAGAGGAACGATTGCGCGATCCAATCCTCGTCAAAGACACACTGACATGTCCTTGGCGGCGTCTGGCTGCTCGCATGTTCGGCGCGCAAGCAACTTGACCAGGGTTGAAATCCTTGGTCTTCATTGTGCAGTTGTCTGCTAGGTGATGGGCATGCAGGCACACTCTCTTTAAGAAACACCCAGCCAGCCGTGCTATGAGTCAAGCTGTGCTGGCAACTGTACACGGCTATAGACTGCAGCCTCGCGGACTGTCTGTCTGAAATTAGGAGCAAGGCTTGCCATACTGCCTGCGCCTGCAAGCAAGGGTCCCACTGCCTCGAGCCCCAGTGACAATAAGGCGGTAGCGGTTTTGCTTGCCTGGTCGCATCACGGATGCTGAGAGACGCTCAGTTAGCTTAACGAGTCAAACAGCATGAGTGAGTTAGCTGATGGGAATCAAAATTACAAAGTCAACTCTCCAATCTGGAGTTTCTCAAGATGCGCAAGCGTCTGTTAAGTAGTAATCAGCGCTTACCTAGCGCGCACACACACACACAGCAAATCATCATGAAAAAGCAGCTGTAGTAGAGAGAGGTCCCAGCATCTCCAGTAGTGTATGTTCGTCATAAGAAGAGCAGCAGCACGAGGAGAGGAGGCAGATGAGCAGTAGCTAGCACAACTTCTCAAGCGGGACAGCCATACAAGAAATGTGGTGGTGGTGGTGGTGGTG